GACCCCGGGAGGTCCAGTTCTCACCTAGGACAGACTGGAGACTGACAGGACTCAATGGGCCCAGCAGCTTCTTTGATACCTTTCTCCACACCTGTACCTCCAAAGTGTGCCCCCTCCTCCCCGAATCTCACCACAGGCAAGAAAAGAAAAGAGAAGAAATGTTTGCTCCAGTCCACAACAGACCTAGCCTGCCCAGCCACCTGTCACTCTCTTGGGAAGGAAGGCTCCCTTGTGCCAGGAGCAGCTGACCTGTCCAGCATCATAGCATGCCCAGAGATGGTCATCAGAGATGAGCATCAGAGAGAGCATCCAGAGAGCAGGGGGCAGAGCCTGGAGCGCTGTCTCTGTGTGGTGAAGCATCCAGCCTCAGCACAGCGGCTGATGAGTGTCTTTATCTCCAGGCCAGCCCACCCAGGTACGGGATGGCCATGGGCAGAGGATGCAATGGGCTGAGCCACACAACACAGGTCTCTTCTCAGCAGCAACAGGGACAAGTCCCAGCACAGGAAGGGACTTTGTGGGAGACCTTGGGCTGGTGCTAAGATCAGAACAAGGAGGGCCATTGTACTCCCTGGCCTGATCAGGTGATCAGTCTTAGCTAGCTTCCTTCCCTCCCTCCCTCCCTCTCTCCTTTCTTCCCTCCATCCCTCCCTCTCTCTTCTCTCCTCCTTCCCTCTCTTCTTTCCTTCCTCCCTCCCTCACCCCCCTTTCTCCTTCCCTCCATCCCTCCCTCCCTTCTCTCTCCTCCCTCCCTCCCCTCCTCTTCCAGCTTAGGATGCTAGCAGGACTTTGAAGTCACCCTTGAGTGGAGAATGTGGGGTCCCTGTGACCCCACAGAGCCATAATGCCAGCCCTCTCACTTCCTCTTCCTAGTCAGTGGCCCTCATCTGGGATCAAGAACTCCCCTGACTTTCTCAGCTGAGATGAAAGATGGCCTGTGGTCCTGCCAGCCACCAGAGCCCTCTCCTTCCCTGCAAGAATGGTGGGGGCTTGTTTCCTTTCATTTCGAGTCTCCCAAAGTTAATTTAAAGTTTCTCTCTTTTAAATATGCCCTGGCTCCGCGCGAACAGCAGCAAGCTGCCCAAGGAAAGTGGAGGGAAAGAGATGATTGTCTCTGCAGATATTGTGGCCTTGTAAATGAAAAACCGTGTTCCCAGAAGAGCCCGAGGGAACAAGGAGAGTGCTCAGCATCAGGACAGGGACCTGAGAAGGAGGAGGGGGATCCCCGGGGGATCTGGGGGTGGGGAACCAAAACTCTAGTCTGTTAGTATTTGGCAGGAGGTAATTCCCTGAGATCCATTTTTTTTTTTAATATCACTCTGTCTTGGGGGTCAGGGAGACAAGGAGTTCCCTTCCCTTCCCTGAGTGTTGTCTCAGCCGAAGGAAATTTCCAGGTGACTTTAATTCTGGTCTCAACTGGGTTTTTCCTCCCTCTGACCGCATCACAGCAGGAAAGGAGCGGAGGCCTCTGCCCTCTTCCCATGGTGTCCTAGAAGGATGGCATAGAGAAAGGCCTGGTGGAAGGTTGTTCTTGGCTAGGCTTGAATCAAACCTCCAAACCATTGCCAACCTGGACCGGTGCCACATTCCAATCACCAGCATCATCACTATCTTAGCTGTGGCCCTTTCTCAAGGCCAGCTCTTGTGTCTGTCCCTAAGTCTGGGGAAACTGCAAAGGCTTCAGGACAGTGCCCTTCTGCTGATGTTGACTAGCATTCATTTAGTTTTTGGATTTGTTTTTGTTTTTTACCAAGAACCAGGTAGCTAGGTACTTATGGCGGTAAACGCCTGAGTACTGAGTATTCGGGAAGCCAAGGCAGGAAGATCTCTGTGCCCTCAAGGGCAGCCTGGTCTGCATAGTGAATTCCAAGCCAGCAAGGTTTTAATGTAGTGAGTCCCTACCATAAGAGCAAAACAAAGGGCCAGGCAGACCGAGACTGAGCTGGGGACTGGCTATTTCCATTGCATGTACTCCTTCCCTTGTGGCAGGGATTGCTCAGTTCAGGTCAATGGCCACGGGGCTGGGCTCTCCCTCAAGGTTTGGTTGTTGTTTGTTGCTGCCGTAGGGCCTGGATCTGTGGCCCAGGCTGTCCTTGAACTCACGAGCCACTTGCCTTCCCTCTGAAGCTCTGGGATGGCAGGCACGTGCGGCACCAGGTTTGTTTTGGGACGAGATGGGCCCTCTTCTTCCACAGCTACCCTGCCGGTCATTCTTCCCACGTGAATGACCTCCCACCTTCGCTGACACAGAAGTAGGGATGCCACGTCCGTGACTGTTTGGATGTGGCTCCCTGGTTAGTTGGTCAGGCCTTCCAAGGCTTCTTCCAGCTCTGCTATGTCTTGCTGAACTCCTCAGCCTCTGTGGTCCCTCCAGTGGGTTCAGGGGCCTCTTCATCCTCTCTGATCTTCTCGAATCTTCCTTACTATGATGAGCTGTTGGTATGATCATCTGGGGCTGGGGTTGGGGCTGGGGCTGGGTGGGCTTCCAGAGCCCCAGCTCTGGTCCTCCTTTGCTCTCTAAGTGTGAGCAGAGCTCTGCTTCCCTTTGAACCCAGTTTCTGAAACAGTAGAAAGACAGAGCCAACATGCCTCCAACTCATCACATCCTGGTCCAAAAGAGAGCGCTGCCTCCCTAGAAGCCAGCCAGGTCAGATCACATAGTTTCCCCTTGGCCTTTAGTCTAACTCTCCTTCCCATTTGCTTCTGCTGTCCCCAGGTGACCCCCTCATCTAGACCAATGGTGACCATACAAATATTTAACAAGGACAAAGATGCTCGGGCAAATGCTAGGAGCCCATGACTGCAGTACAGGGAAGCAGGGCTGCAAGGAGGGGCCCTGGGACAAAGGCTCTTGTCTGCATGCACTATTTTATTGTATCATCCACTGAAAGAACCCCAAGGCTCTGCTGTCCTTCCACCACCAGCAACCCATGCCCTACGTTAAAGATTTCTGGGACTTTCCCTGTCCTTTGTTGGATCCTAACTGATAACAACCATCCGACACCCCAGTCCCTCTCAGAAAAGTGAGTGTCTTTGTGTAGGGAAATACCCTGATAAGGCCCTGGGAGGGAGATAACATCCAGAGGGTTTGATTTGACAAGAGACAAGGAAGCAGGGGACTGCTACACTGTTTTGCTGGGGACACATGGAAACAGGAGATGGCGGAAAAGAGGGAGCGGAGGGGAAATTAAGAAAACAATGTACCAGGAGGAAGAAGCTCAGAGGGCGGGAATGGCTTGAGGGGCTTCTGGGAATGGAAAAAAATATATATATATGGGCTTTTACATGTGGCTTTCTGCAATATATAAATCCCTTCCTCTTCTGTCCTTTGAAAATGTTGCTACCCACAGAGACTTTGTGTGCCCAGCCACGCTTTGTTTTAGGGGTGAGACCAAAGTTTGTGGGTTTTTTTTTTAATGGGGCATAAAGAAAAGAATTGAGGTCCATGTCTGGGCTGACTGGGGGTGGGGGTTGAAAATGACACCAGTAGGGGGTAAGAAGATGCATAAATGGAGTTAATTCAATGCAAGCAGAAGGCGCCTCTCCAAATGACAAAGAGTCTAAATGACAAAGAGACAAAAATGGCCATGATTGACACTCTGCCCTGAGCAGGAAGGAGCTCACTCAGCTCACACCAGCCCTACCCATGGGGACTATAGCTATCCACCTGCTGTGGCCATGGACGTGGAGACACAGAATAGATTGATGACCCTGGCCTGGGGCAGAGCTGAGATTTGAACCCAGGCAGTTAGACTCCAGTCTGTACGTAATCGTGACAAATGCAAAGCCTCCCAGGGATCTGTGGGAGACTTGCGAGATTTTCTGTGTCCCTTGACTTGCACCTTCAGGGGCAGGAGAGGCCTGGCTATTTCTGGGTTCATCTATTTTCCATCAGTCTCTGACTAGTTTGGCGTTCCCCAGGGCAGGGACCTTGTTTTATTCTTCTGTGGCCTCAGATCTACCACAGAGCCTGTGTGGAGTAGGAAGTAGCCGGAGTTCAAGTTTATTGAGTGAATAAGTGGAGGAGAGGGCAGGAGGGCAAGACCCACCGGGAAACCAAAATGTTTTCTGGGCCAGGCAGGGGCTGAAACCAAGACAAGGAGACATTTGTTGACTCTGTCACCTCCCGTGTCCTTCCCCAGTGCTAATTCCAGAGCTTCTGCCACCTCCCAGGCAGGCGTGAAGCTGTGGCTCTTTCCTAATTGAGAAGGCAAACATCTTCTGTCTAGTCAAGGCAGCAACATCAAGGCGGGTTTGTGCAGGCGGGGCCGCGTGAGCTGGCAGCCCACCACACGCTTCCTTCCAAGCTGCTTTTCCTACCGCTGTCGCATTTAACTCTCCCTGTGTTTCAGAATGTAAATGCCACCCTCTTTGAAGGCTCCCCAAAGAGAATGCTGCTGTCTCAACAGAGGTGGCTCTGGTGGGAGGTGCAGCGGGGGACGAGGGGCTCTCTAGAGCAGAGAGCATTCATCCCCCCACTCTTGTCTCTCCCGGGTCTGTCCCCGCATCTTTGATTTCATTTTCATGTGATAAAAATTGAGATGTACAACCCTTGTCTCAGCTAACACAGGCGGCAGTCAACTGGAAAGCGCTTTGTTCTCTGGAGTGGGAGGGCCACAGCAGGAGACAGGCTCTTGGGAAGTGTCCCTGGGGGACTCTAGGGACAGGAGTCTCTCCTTGATCATCCTGGCTCTATGGGCCATGCACACTCACACACACATAGGAAACATCACACACACACACACACACACACACACACACACACACACACACACACACATAATGTGTCCCTTTCCCCAAGACCAGGCTCCCATTGACAAAAAACTAGATGTCCAGATCTGCCCCAGGTTCAGCTACATCTGATGGACGAGTGGGACACAAGATGGCCTGATGTCCCTCTATGATGATCTCTGATGACCTCTGCAAAGAGCTGGCCTCCCTGGAGCAGAGCACTGCTGTGAGGAATGACTGAGCTCTGAGGACGAGGTAGGAACCGGAACACTACTATACGCTGTGTCAGGGTTCTAGTCAAAAGATGGCGGCATCCTGGCCTAGAGCCCTAGTATTCGTAAGCAGAAAGGCTGGGGCTACAGCTGAGGGAGTGTTTGACTGCCCCACAGAAAACCCTGGTTTCAATCCCTAGTACCACCGAAAAATAAAATATAAAAAGTCACGTGTGGCGGTACCTGCCTGTAATCCTAGCACACACTCCAATTCGGGGACAGTCTAGTCCCCCAGGACAAGTACCAATGTGCAGATATTGTTCTTCATGTGGGAACCTACCTTCTTCCTGGGGTCTCTCTAATATCATCTTAAGCAGAGAAGAGAGCTACTTGCTGAAGCTCTGGGAACATCAAGAGAGGCCACGTCCTTGATGCTTCTGGAGCTAAAGCTAAGAACAGGTGGAGACTCCCGGAGTGTGGATAGAGACTTTCCTTCTCCTGTAGGAAGGATGACTGCCCATCACTAGTGCGGACCAAGATGGTGAGGTGAGGATGGACCCTCCACCGAGGATGCCCCCAATGTCCTTTGCCACTCCGAGATCCTACAGCTCCATGAAGGTGCAGCATGTGGTCCCCAGCCCACGAGTCTCACACTTGCAGCTGCGTGCTTTTCTATGATATGAATATTGAAATGTCATCTGATTGCATTATACGTCACCAGTGGGGGTATAAAGAGGAAAAAAAACCTACGGGTCCTGCGCGGCACCTCTCCTTGGATGTCTTACAGGACCCAGAAAAACAACATCAGCCCTAGGCATAGCTACTACGGGCCTGCTTCTCCCTGACACTCTTCCACCTCCCTGCCCCTGGCAGCACCTAGGACTGGGGGTCCCAGGAATGGGAGTCACATGGTCAAAGGCGTGGGGCCCAGTCACCCCAGGTTTTTCCTCACTTTGAGAGTTTCATCCACTTCGTGGTCAGAAGCGTCTTCTATTGCTGCTGCTGTTGGTTGGTTTTGTTGTTTTGTTTTGAGACACTACACAGAAGGCTGGCTGGTCTGGAACTTAACTGTGGACAATCTAGGCTAACCTCGAACTTATGGCACTCCTCCTGCCTCAGCCTCCCAAGTGCTGGGAACTGCAGGTGTGCACCACCACACCTGCCTTCGTGAGTTCTTTTTATGACCCTTCTCCATCATCTACCCAGCTTTCCCTCTTCGTGGAGACCCCAAGCTAGAAGCAGACAGTAGCATATACTCTCCCCAGTGTTCTCCTTCTCCCCTCCTCCCTAGCTAACCATCTCAACACCCCAGCACTCTGGCTGAACCAGGAGGAAGAAACAGCACTGCGTGCATGGCTGTAATGGAGGGGCCTCTAGACAGAGGATCGATGACTGTAACCAGGCAGCGGGGCAAGGGGGGGGGGGATTAGCAGCATGCCTCCAACCCCTATTTGCTCCTGCCTTCTATTTTCCTAGCCCGTGTACCCAGTGGTCACAAAAAAGGCAGAGGCAGAGGAGCCCCTGGGGGTCAGAGGACGGTACAGACAGATGAAGAACAGCCACATACCCAGCCCACGTTAACCCTGACTCTCTGCTGGTGCCTCTGCCCCATTCTCTCAGGCGATAAGTGAACTGCTCTGTTTTCTCATCCTAAAGAATTGCGCCAACTGGGAGCACTCACCGCTGTGGCTCCTGCAGGCACCCTGCCCTCAAGATTGCATTCTCCAGCTCACATAGCCCAGCAAGGCACTGCCCCCAAAGAAAGACCTCTGAGGGATCCGTCAGGCTGGTGAGTCATCAGTTTGTCTGTCTGTGTGCCTGCAGTGTGCCTGCAGGGTCTCCAAATGGCTGTGCACAGGTGTTCACACCAGCCTGTGAGAGTGCCCACATGTGCGTCCTTGTGAGTGTGTGTGTAACATCTTGGCTACCAGTGCATGAAGGAGAGAAGTGTGCCCCTAAGGAAGGGATTGCCAACCTGTCTCAGAAACCTCTGCCCAGGTTTGGAAACAAAAAGGATGGCCTTTGGCTCCTGTCAGGCTCCTGGCGGCCTGGGTGGCATCTGAAGCCCAACTCCTCACATTTATTCCCCAAGGAAACATGGGTCACTCCCTTGGGCCCCTTCTGCAGCCCCTGCAAGGCTGCTCTTTCCCATTCAGAGCCAGCCAGGGTTCCAGCGGCCCCTCCTCCTGCTCTGGAAGTTGTGCCTCCAGCTTGAGGGACAGTTCTGGCTGGCCTGCAGGACAGGGATGGCTGCTCCTCCCAGTCGGTGCCCGCCATAGTCCTCTGGACTCTACCCCAAGGACCCAGGCAGCAAAGGAGCTACTAACAAAGGCATCCCGCTGAGGCCTGAGGTTCTGCCTCCAGGAGCCACTTCTCAGCTAAATACCAGCCTCTCAATGCTTGGCGATGACCTTTTGAAGCCTCCATTGGCTGCCTTGGTATTTAGAGAACAGCCTAGTCTCTGGGGAACCAGGGAAGGAATACTTACTGCTTCAGAAGGCCAGCCCCCAAAGAGAAGAAAGAGGAAAAGCTAGCCCCTTCTTCCTGAGGCAGGTACAGCCCTCAGCCGAGGTTCTTCTGCCCTCCAGCAGGACTGCCTTGTCAACTGCCCACAATGCTATTTTAACAACCTTACCCAGGGTCTCCAAATGGCTGTGCACAGGTGTTCACACCAGCCTGTGAGAGTGCCCACATGTGCATCCTTGTGAGTGTGTGTGTGTGTGTGTGTGTGTGTGTGTGTGTGTGTGTGTGTGTTTCAAAAGGAAGTGAGCTTCCTCTTTCCTGAGCATGGACAGATAGGGCTATGGGTATGGACACAGACTCACAGGTGTGGGTTAGTACTATTTGTGTCTGTCCATGTCTGTGTGTCTGACTGTGTCTGTGTCTTTGTCTCTTTGTGTCCCTGTCTGTCTGTGCCTGTGTCTGTGTCTGTCTGTCTGTGTCTGTGTCTGTCTGTCTGTGTGTGTCTGACTGTGTCTGTGTCTGTGCCTATGTCCATCTGTCTGTGTCTGTGTGTGTCTGTGTGTGTCTGTGTATCTGTGTCTGTGTCTGTGCCTGTGCCTGTGCCTGTGCCTGTGTCTGTCTGTCTGTCTGTCTGTCTGTGTCTGTGCCTGTGTCTGTGTGTCTGTCTGTCTGTCTGTGTCTGTGCCTGTGTCTGTGTGTCTGTCTGTGTCTGTGTTCTGTCTGTGATTGTGTATGGTGAGAAAGTGAATGGGCTGCTGCATGTGTCAGCGAGGGGGAGGACCAGAGGTTCTGATCATGTGTTTGTGCACGAGGGTCACAAGTGCACTTATGCACACAGAAGGCACATGACCAGAGGTTCTGATCATGTACTTGTGCATGAGGGTCACAAGTGCACTTATGCACACAGAAGGCACATGATCAGAGGCTCTGATCATGTACTTGTGCACGAGGGTCACAAGTGCACTTATGTACACAGAAGGCACAAGCTCTGAGTGTGATTCTCATTTGGCTGAGTCATGAGGGATGCAGGCTCACTCCTGCAGTGAAGAAGTAGTCTCTCCAGGGATCTTGTAGGGGTTACATGGGGTGGGGGACACTGTATGCAACAGCCTATCATATGGACTCCCACCCCAGGCTTCTAGGCTCATATCTGTCTACTCCAACCCCCTAGTATCTAGTTTCTCCCTCCACCTGACTGTGTGGTGACAAGGAGATTTCCAAGTTGATGAGTGTGGCCCTCTGGAGCCCTGCTGGACTCCATGTTGCCCACTGTACCTTCGGTTCGCTGGGGATACCTGGACTTAGCAGGTTGATGTCATGCCCAAGAGCTGTTCTAGCAAGTCGTGGCAAGCAGCCCATGCCCAGCACAGTGACACCCCAGAGTGGGCAGGCCCCAGGAACAGAGTAGAATTAATTAGCACAGTTACCAGAAGCTCAGGCTAAGTGGAGCACAGAGACGGTTCCAGAGCCACAGGGCAAACAGTGGGCCGTGATAGAAGAAGTCTAGCCATGCCACTGACCTGCAGCAATACTGTATTTTCCAACTGGAGATTGAACTGTGGGTACTACAGGGTACCCAGAGTTCCCCATCAGCGCCAAACCCTCAGCCAGCATGGTCTCCCAGCAGCTCTAGTTGGGCAGATCTTAGAAGTGAAGCTGCCTTTGGGAGAAGGATTCTCCATCACCCTAGGTGACGCTGGCTCCCCTGGAGCAGCTCGTACCCAGTAACCTGTACTCCAAGAGCAGAAAAGCCCAGAGCCTTTGCACCCTTCGAGATAACACTGAATGGCCATCCCAGGTCCAAAGGGGCCCTTCAGGGCCAACCGAAGCCTTTATGGCTACTGTAACACCGAGAACCGAGCTCTGAGCAATGCTGGTCCTTCCACTCCCTTGAATACAGGAGCATCCCAGGTAGACTTCCTGTCACCGAATCTCCATTTCAAAGGAGGATGTTCATAGATGGAGGAAGTTGACCTAGAAGGCATCTGTCAGATAAATATAGGTACCCAAGGAGGTGGCTCTTGGGCCAGTGAGTACAGCCAGAGAAGAGAGGAAGAAAAAGAAGAAGGGAGAGAGATGAGCAGGGGACCAAAGATGGACCTCTGCAGAGCCAGGATTCAGACAGAGACCAGTTCACCTGAGAGACAAGAGAAAACCACAAATCCTTTTGTCAGAAAGTCAAGAAGGGAGTGGCTAATAGCATCAGACTCTAGAGCAGTGGTTCTCAATCTGTGGGCTGTGACCCCTTTAGGAGGGTCAAATGACTCTTTCACAAGGTCACCTAAGACCATCATCTGCTTATCAGATATTTACATTGTGGTTTATAACAGTAGCAAATTATAGTTATGAAGTAGCAACAAAAATAATTTTATGGTTGGGGGTCACCACAGCATGAGGAGCTGTATTAAAGTCACAGATTTAGGAAGGTTGAGAACCACTGATCTAGAGAGTGGCCCAATAGCATGACCAAAGGTAAAAATCACCATAGGGCTAGCGGAAGGATGTACCTGGTGACTTTAAAACCAGAGCAGTCCCCAGAGACAGCGGCCTGGAGAGGCGTGATACCAGAGTGACTGTAAGTGTGGGAAACAGAGGCGTCTTAAGTCATGCTTGGAAGAGGACAAATCAGGAAGAAAGATGTCATAGTGTCTGCAAGTGATGCTGTTAATTTCGTCATCATTGTTTTTCAGATTGGAGGCAGTTGAGCGCAAATCTGGAGAATTTTCCAGCCAGAAGGCTAGATCCATTCACGGCCCCCAGAGAGATCTCAATATCTGCTTGTGTGGGTTTCCTTGTGCCAACAGCAAAATTGATCATCCTAACCACTTAAACAAGAGTGATCCATTACTTTGAACTAAAAGGACGCTTGTCAACTACGGGAACACCCTACATGAGTTAAAACACCGGCAGCTGGCAGCAGCCTCAGCGGACTGTTGGGATCTGCTTGAAGGTGTCCTGCATTTGGTCATTATTGCAGCCATGGTTAATCTGTCATTTGGCCTTGGAGGGCATCCCAGAACCAAAACCCAGAGTCCACTGTACAGCGAGGTGACACAGGACCTTTGGACCCCATGCCAAGGGCTCCCAAATTGTCCTGGTTTGGGTCAGTGCTGTAGTTTGGGTGGACTAGAAGATGGGCTGGCTCAATAGCCCAGGCAGGCATGTGGCTCATTTGTTCTTGCCAAGGAGGAGTGTTGTGGCCAGGCAAGGAATAACTCTGAGATTCGCTGCCATTGCAACCCTGAAAAAAAAAAAAAAAAAGGCTAGACAGAGGAATAAATATGTGCCTGGGCTCTGTTAGCCCCAGGAAGACTAAGTGTGAACCCTGCCTCAAGGCTGCATCTGCTGCAGAGATTTAGACCTGATTTACACATCTGTGCTTTCCTGATGATCATAAAAGAAGCCTTTTAGGATGTGAGCCAGGGTTGATATTGCAGATACATATATTCATCAGGAAACCCAACTCTTCTTATTCTGTTTTGACAAGCACAGCTTCTACCTTCAGGGTCTCCTTGTGGCCCAATATGCGGAAAGAGCGCCAGCCATTACGACTGCATTCCAGGCATGAGGAATGAGGACAAGAACAAAGGACAGACCCCTCGTTTTAATGATACTTTAAAAAAAATGGTCCTTGTAACACTTTTACCAACTTAATCATTCGCAAAATTTAATCACGAAGCCCCATCTAACTGCAAGGAGGCTGAGAAACAGACTCTTATCTAGCCAGGTTACTAGGTTGTGCTGGCTAGTGTACGTCAACTTGACACAAGCTAGAGTTATCAGAGTGGAGGGAGCCTCAGCTGAGAAAAATGCCTTTGTAAAATCTGGCTATAGGCAGGCCTGTAGAGCATTTTCTTAATGAATGGTCAAGGGGGAGAGCCTAGCCCATTATGGGTAGGGTCACCCCTGGGCTGGTGGTGCTGGGTTCTATAAGAAAGCAGACTGAACAAGCCATGAAGAGCAAGCCAGTAAGCAGCACCCTTCCATGGCCTCTGCATCAGCTCCTGCCTCCTGCATCAGGATCCTGCTCTGCTTGAGTTCCTGCCCTGACTTTTTTTGATGATGAACAGTGATATGGAAGTGTAAGCCAAATAAACCCTTTCCTCCCCAAGCTGGTTTGGTCATGGTGTTTCATCACAGCAATAATAACCTTAAGAGAGGTCAAATAAAATAAAACAAGGGCTATTCATGTAGAGGTAAGAGACAGGATGGTGGAATGATCTACTCTTGTGCCTCTCCTAGCCTGTGACCTGGGACAAGTGCCCTGAGCCCTCTGGGCCTCGGTTTTCTAAACTTCAAAGCAACAATAAACGTCCTTTCCTCCTTCGCTGGTGTCACTACTGGAGGTGTAAAATCATGCACCAAGAGCATCAGTGGGGTGAGCAGTTGGGAGTGGTGGGGAGTAGGGCTCATCAGAGCTGCAGAGGGAGATCGCTATTCAACTCTGGCCTTTTGTGAAGACTGTCTCATTTTTTAAAATTATTTATTATGTATATAGTGTTCTGTCTTCAGGCCAGAAGAGGTCACCAGACCTCATTACAGATGGTTGTGAGCCACCATATGGTTGCTGGGAATTGAACACAGGACCTCTGGAAGAGTAGCCAGTACTCTTAACCACTAAGCCATCTCTCCAGGCCTCGTCTCATTTTTTAAGGGTAATAAAAATTGGGGTGTTATATATCAAACCTCTCTAATTTCAAATTTTCAATAATTCGCTATTTCAAAAGCCTGTCAAAGTGGATATATGCACAGCTCAGCACATGTGGTTCTGTTTGAGGGACCCTGGGGTGTGAAATGTTCGGGCCCTGGGACAGTAACACTAGTCTCAAGACCCTCGATTTCTTTGGGGTATGATAAACACTGTTTCCCTGGTGGCAAAGGCTTGTGTGGGCAAAAGGCAACATGTACTGCCCGGGCTTGTGTCTCTGAGTGTGCATACCTGTGTGCTAGCAAGTCCCACAGGCCATTGCATTCCACCACCTGCTTATCACAGAGCCGGACTGCAAGTCTAAAGCCAATAAGCCTTCCGTGGGGTGCTTAGTGCTCGCTGCACGCACTGTCTTCCGTCAAGCAAACAATTGGAGCAAATCAACCCAAGTTTGCGTAGGAGACCTGGGTGGCCAGCTGCAATTTAGATGTGTATGTGCCTCTAGCCACGTGACTTGGCCTAAATCCTTCCGTAAACAACAGTGGACAGTGATGGTGGACATGCTAAACTCCCACACAGTTCTCGTGTGTGTGTGTGTGTGTGTGTGTGTGTGTGTGTGTGTGTGTGTGTGCGTGTGTGTAGTCTTCAGTAGTCTTTTGGACCCGAGCTCTCCTACAGACTTAGTTGGCCCCTCCTGCTCACTAGCTTTTACATCTAGACTCCCTGCCTGGCCATCCCAACAGGAGATGGAGGAGATGCTCTGTGGACTGGCCTCTGCACATCCCAATCTCTCTACAAGCATCTTTGGAAACCTCATTGCCTTCCAACCTGGCGCTATCTCCATGCCAAGACCCAGCCCAGCTTCGTCTCCAGAGTGACTTCCTTGCACAGAAGTGATTTAAAGGACTAATCCATCATCAATGGAACTTTGAGGTTACATCTTGACCTCTGGACCAGATGCAGGGGGCAACCCAGAGACGGGGGAAGTTATCGCAGGGATTAAGCAGAAAAGTCCATACCATTTCTTCTGATCTCCACTATCGTATTCTAACACACATGCCTCACAGTTTTAGTCTCCCCTTCCTTTCTCAGCTCTAGCTAGCACTTCTCCCTTTTATAGGTAACATACCCATCTCTGATTCCACAAATCCTACTAACTGTTGTCTCACCTACCCACGTGTTTGCTGTTCAAACCTCAGGAAGCATCCACCCCCAAAGCCGATCTGTTAGTACTCCTCTGGGCCAATGGGGCCAGGCGTTGAAGGTTCCTTTATCCCACTTCCCGTCTCGCCTCACATTCACGATCTGCAGTGATGGCCATGCCTGGGCTCAGGAGGGTCTGTGATGGTGCCACCTTTCCCCAAGGCCCTGGACCCCTGGACAGGACTGGATTTTGTTCACATGTCTCAAAAAGGAGCATTTGCGAGGATGGGTCTGTGGGTAATGACACTACCACAAAACTTCACGTTTAAAATCATCTTAGACTGGATGTATTCTATCTGGCCAACATGGCCCCAGGGAAAGTGGTATTGAGTTTTCCAGGCCCAGGGTATGTGTTGGTGGCTGGGAAACATCTGCTCTGACAAAGCCATCTCAAAACCTAAAGCAGGGTGGGCAATCTTCTCCCCAGCAGCTCTCCATCCTCCCAGAGGTGGGACGAACCCTAGCCCCAGGCAGGCCCGCCTACTCAGCTCCCTCTGGCGTCACGCCCACCCCCCCTCACTCCACTCCAGTCAGAAGACCTGCTGCACTCCTCACCGCCACCACCCCGCCTTTACATCTCCGCTTCCCCAGACCTATCCCGCCTTTGCTCTGAAACACACAGGACAAGCACTGCGCTGTCACCGCTTCAGGGGCGCGTTCTTGAACTCTCTCGGTCACGCTCTAACTCCCTGAAACTTTTGTTCCTTTATTGCGTTTGTCAGCTTCTGTCCCCCCCCCCCCCCCCCCCCGCATCCCATAGGGCAGAGATCTCAGAGGACCCATCCGCTGTTCTTTCTCCGGCACCCAGTTCATGCCTGCAAATGGTGGGGATTCCACCAATATTTGCTAGATGGATTGTACCACTGTACTGGAAGGAGTGAAGAAGGAAGAGCTGGAAGAGCTGTGTCCTGTCACTGCTTGTCAAGTGGTGGAAGGGACTGTCTGGGGCAGTCTAGAGGTGTAGCTCCAACCTGCCAGCCCCTGTCGTGGCCAGCCTTGTCCACTAACAAGAGAGGCCCCTAAGGCATGTGAAGGGCACATGTTGCCCTCTACCCCACACCTCTTGAGTCAGACTCACCTCCCCAGGCAGCAAGGGGTGGAACAGAGCCTGGGGAACCCAGCTCCCCACCCATCACTCAGGGAGAAGAGCCACAAATTTTAAGGTCTCCGTTTATGCCTGTCACATTCAAGGGCAAACTTGCCATGGCCATGCTACCTGGCCACTCCTCCCTGCTGACAGCTGTGCTGGCTCAGGGACTTGCCCAGTGACAGATCTGTTGTCTGTTCAGCAACATCAACTGACTGCTCCTGGGGCCAGGGCCGGGTGACTGCTGGAGGTGGAGACGTTCACAGCCAGGGAGACTTTCTTCCTGTGAACATCCTGCTACAGAGGCCAGCCCAGCAGGAAGCACTGGTACAACCCTTCTACTGGTTCCCCCTTATTATGGTTAGAACCTGACATGTCGTTCCCCCCCACCCCACCCCGCCGCCGCCCACCCAGGCTCATGTGTTTGAACATTTGGCCCCTAGCTGGTGGTGCTGTGTTGGGAGCCTGTGGAACCCTGGGAGGTAAGGACGGACTGGAGGAAGTCAGTCACCCAGGCAGGCCTTGCTGTTAATGGCACACCCCCACTTCCTGTCCCCTTTCTGTTTCCTGTTCTGTTGCGATGTAACTACATACTCCAGCATGACTTCCTTCCATGATGGACTGTCCCATCACACAGTGACCCAAGTAAACCCTTCCGCTTCCTTTTAACTGCAGCTCCTTCCTCCCTCAGCAAGCAGTACCTCCACGCCCTCTAGGAAATGGGCCGACAGCAAGGTCTCCCTGAAAGGCTCACACAGTGCCCGGTGGGAAGTGAGCGCTCACAAAACAGCATCTGCTACTGTCATTTTCAAGATACTGTTATCATCCTCGCCGCCGCCGCTGCTGTTTATAGATGGGCTCATCACCCATCTTCTCTGTCCAAATCTACAGAGGAAATAGCACAGTCCCTTTTAGTGTTGCCAGAGAAGGGGGAGGAGCCAAGAGACAAAGCACCCCACCACCACCACCTTCAGCTCCAAAAGGCATCTCTGCTGGGTTGGACGGTGAGAGGGAACAGCCATGGTCCCAGAGGATGTGCCCAGTAGCCTCAAGAGCGGCCCAAAGGCAACATCTGAGGTCTGGGAACATACTGACTTCTCTGGGGGTGTGTCTCACTCAGAAAGTAGCAGACAGTTCACCCTGAACTCCCCTCACCTCCAGCAGAGCCTGTCCCTCTGTCCCTTGAGGACCCATGATCACACTGCCCCCCCCCCCAGCCCTGCCACTTCCTCCCGCAACCTGTGTCACCCTTACCGCTCACATTTGAGCCACCCTTCTGCTCAGACCAGTCACCTTCTCCCTTCCCTCCCAGCACCCCCCTCTTG